CGCCCGCACGCACGCACGCACGCACGCACGCACGCATTGTGGGAGAGCACAACTAGGTGCAAGCAAGGGCCCAGTAGAGCTTGTCAACAGATGTCAACACTTGAAACTTGAAACAGGCAGGTGATCAGGGCATGCTTCAGAGCGGTTTAAAGAGACTTACCAGTGCTGTACTGATTATGCTTGCCTGTCGATTTTTGACCTGAGCTTCTTGCACAGGAGGAGCCCCGCAAAGATGTGCTTGTTGAAAGCAAGGGAGCCATGGTGCCTTGTCATCCATCAATGCTCTGATACCTTAGCTGTGCCGCCTTCAATGTTTCATATTTCCGCCCTGAGGCAAAGCCAGTGTTTGTGGTGCCTGGCCCTCATCGTTGCTTGATGCCTGCACTCCGAATTCCAAGCATTGACAAGCACTTAACCTACTGCTCAGCTTTGGTTGATGCTGCTTGACGAAGTGGGCAATGTGGTGGGTGGAGGATGCATGATGCATGTGAAGATCTGGAAACGGGTGCAGTGCTTTCACGAAGCAGCAAGGATTGGCGGCACCAAATTTGTGAGGTCAGACTGCACTGGCGAGTCCGCTGAACGTACAGTGCGATGTGCTTTGGGTCAGTGCCGACCTCATTCTTTCACTTCATGATTATTTTTTATTTTCCTGCTGTAACTTGACATTTAAAGACATAGTCTCAAGGTTTTGAGCTATAGTCAGGTTTGGCCATTGCTTTGAGAGAAGCTGCCAGGGTCAAAGCTTGAACAGCTAAGCCACCAAGATTCTGAAGCAGCAAAGAGGGTTCGCAGGAGATACTCAAAGAAAGCGCTCTGAGGTCAAGCTGATATTACAATTTTTCGGTTTGCTACATCAACCATGATTCAGGCACTGAGATTAAGCTGCCTTAGAAACACCCTCATTTGTCAGGAAGTGAGAGGCCAAACAAATCAACTTGTTCAGGAAATTGTGCGCCAAGCAAAAGAACGCAATGCCTTCATCGTGTTTACGTTGGCTGCCTGCTTAGAGAGTAGCATGAACACCTGGTAACCACAGCTCATAGCTACCTCCGTACGTGGGCTTGAGGTAGACCCTGTGGCCAATTCTTTGCTGGAGAAGCACTGTGAGGAGTTTGTCACTCAGTTTTGGGGTTCAGGCGAAGACCTTCTGCTCTGTCATTCAACATATTGCCCGTACAATTTCACTTGAATCAGGCATGATGTGACGTGCCATGATTTGTGGAGCCCCTTGTTGGAGAAGTTGGAAGGCTGCGAAGGGCTGGGGAAATCCTTGAAACAATGTGTCGCAGTGTCGCATCGTTGGCGTCAAATGGTTGGCTCGGTGTGGTTGCCAGGATATTTCGATGCCAACCGCCTTGGAGTGCCAGGCCTTGATGTCAACTGTTTGAAACGACTGCAGACGTGTGCTGCTCGTGAAGGTCGGCGGCAGTATGCAGATGAGTCCTACGCTTTGCTTGCTTCTGCTGTCAATTCATGTTTGAGCAAATGCACTGAGAAAGCATCGAATACAAAGCAATGTGTCTCTTCTTGCTCCGAGGAGCTACATGAATCTGATCGAGTGTATTGAATACACTCGACTCTTCGACGATGGCGTGCATCCCCAGCGCTGGGCAGAGGCGCAAAGCTTCCTGCTGAGTGGGTCAGCATATTGCCATATATTGCCACGATACTTGCAGTGCATTCAATAGGCAATCGGATGTTGCGGCTGCAGCAAGCCTCTCAAGCGTCCCATGCGCAGGCCGACATGATGATAGTCGGGCCTTCTCGAAGTGGCTCTTTGCCAGCAATCATTGACGTGAATTTGATGCCATTCAGTGAGTATTTGTCCAGGTAAAACACCACTTTCTTTCTTCATGGCACAGAGAGGGTACAAGGCAGTCCTGCGTTTAGTCAAAAAACAGCAGAGCTCCAGACAAGCCAGTGATGATGTGCTTATATATATATATACACACACACACACATATGTCCTTGGTTCGTCAGAACAGAAGGACAGAGCTTCGCCCAGCAGCTGCAGGTGGCAAACTACCCCCTTGTTCCCGATGAAACTCCACCAGAGGAACTCTGGACTTTTCCGCAGGTCGCTCCTTGGGAATGGAACAAAGGCAGAACAAATTCTAAAGCTGTGCACAGGATCGTGTATTCGCCCTGACCATAGAGCCCAAGAAGCTAGCTGGCATTCGCCCGATGCCCAGCGGAGCACTCCTGTTGTCACATTATTCTTTCAAATGAAGGCGCCAGGGGCAAATGCCAAATCTTTTTCTTATTTTTGGGCTCGCTTTAGGTGAATTCACCTATATACTATCAATAACCTCTGGCAGGGGGGCAGAAGTTTCAAAGCATGTAAGTAAGTGTTCAAGCTATGTGTTTTGCTGCCATTCTGATTTTTCTTGTTGTGAAGCTGCTTGTCATGATTTGAGATGTGGTGGTGTTGTGTGCGATGGTTTTCATGTGCTGAAATGTAATGCAGCTTGTGGCGTGGTGGTTTGTGATGTGGTAAAATGTAGTGTGGTGATAGTGCAATCTGAGACTTTGTGATGTGGTGAAGTGTAATGCACTTGTTCTATTTTTGTTTCCATTCGCTCACGTTGAAGGGCCGGGCAGGCGCATGAAAGCAAGTCGTGCTTTGCATTCAGGCGGAGTGCTTGAGCACAAGCTGTTTCATTTCTGGCTCAGCGCAATGCCCCTGACAGATACGATATGACTCACTTAAACCCTATTTCGTCATTCAGCGCCCTGATTGCTCCTTTTACATGGACCAAGAGCGGGCTATTTGCTCCACATTTTGGACAGCGAAGCATCGCCAGTTTGAAGGGCCATCCACTGTCCAGCCGGCGCACATTGAAACAAATCAGCTGTAGATCGAAACAGGCCTCAGGGATCCTCGGGCTGGAGAAGCAGGATCGACTGGTTGTGGCAGCGGAGGAGTGTCATCACAGAAGACCTCAACGAAGTGTTCACGTATGGTCCATGGTTGAAAGTTCAGCAGAGGGATTGAGAGACAGACTTTGTGGAGATCTCAAATGAACCGACTTGCGAGAGTGTTTGGGATACAGGTTTCGAAGGATGTGGAAGACCTTACAAATGTCATGGGCTGAAGCTGCCATTCCCCCTGGGCAACCAACTTCCAAATAACTGGCGTTGCTTTTGGGATATCCAGTGTCTCCGAGGTTGGGCCTTCAGACTTCACGTTTTGACTGACTAACGAGGAGTGTTTCGAGACCCTAGAGGCGCGATGACGTCTGCACAAACCGCAGGCAAACGAATGCTGAGCAGGATCAACCGGCTGAGCCAGGTTTCGGAGGAGCAATCTAAGCGCCATAGCCCTCGGTCCAGCCTGGAGCTCCCAGCACAACAAAGTCTGGCGATCTGGCCAAAAGTGATTGAGTGAGCAACTGAGTCCAAATCGTAGGCACACTGTGTTTGGCGAAATGCTTTGGTAAGAGCAACCCCTTGTTTGGAAGAGGCAACCTCAAAGTGTGGAAGGGCACAGCATCTCTTGACTATTTTGGAGTCCGGAGTCAAAGGTCCAGCCATTGAACGCGACATCAAACTTGTTCCATTGAAGCTACTGCTCCCCTGGCAAGCCTTCCACCCGTTTGGCCAAACTTGGGACCGGCTCAGTCCTTGTAGGTGAAGCAGCCAACGACCCACCCAAGAAGAAAACAAGGCCCCACAACACGGCCAGAGTACCAGAGCAAAGAAACGGGTCATGGCCCTGGATCTCGTGAGTGGCGCATGCATCTTGCTGGTGAGTGGGGAGCCGGCAAAAGTAGCACACTATAGAACCGAAGAGGCTTGAAGTGTAGCGCCGTGGTTGTGATGCAATAGTGAAATATTGTCTGGCGACTTTTAATACTTTTCTCTTGAAATCTCTTCCTTGCCTCTTGAGATACCCACATTTCGACGATCTGTCTAACTCGATCGACATCACTACAATTCGGTTCTTTCGAGAACCCCCCAATTGTCAAAGTCTGTACCTTTGACGTTTTGTAGACATCTGCTTTTCTTCAGACGTCTTCACATTTCGATACATTTCTCTACAAGTCGCTATTCTGATATCTTTCTGTAGAAACTTCAACTTTTGGATACACTTTCCTCCAGACATTTGGAACTTTTTTCTCGATACTTCTTGGGGGCCTCTAGTCTATATACATCTCTTCATCTCTTTGTTTTTTTCACAGAAATCATTCCTTTCAAAACTATTCGCTGTAAATCTCTGCTTGTCAGTCCTACTAAAACATACTAAAGGTACTTTTTGATAGTTTAAATATTTAGCTTAGACTCGTCTGGACTTGTCTCTAGGAAGTTCTACTTTTGGATACATTTCTTGCCTGCACAAGCTTTGCAACTCTCTTGGATTCATTTCCCACTCTGACATTGCGACCAACACAAACAAGGTTTTACCTATACACAGCCATTGCAATGCCAATTTGCCGCAGCCATAACTCACTACAGTCAGTTCATGTCAGTTTTAAATCCTATGCTCACTCCCCGCTAACCTCTTCCGCACCCGGTTGCACTCTGCATCCGACCCTATTCCCCTCTTATTTTTTACGCCCGCGGAACTGTGACAACATTTCGCAACAAAAAGACATGCGTTGAAGACAACATTGTTTTCTTTGCCTCTCACTGCTAGGTTCGCCTGGGGAGACTCAACGAGTTCGCACTACTCCTTCCTATGGCTCGTGCCAGAAGTCATTATGAAACGTGTCTGACATATGCAAGACACAGACCTATGCACAAAAAGATCACAAAGAAAGACATGCAGTCTCTCAAAAATCATGATTGGACAGCTTCCGTGCGTCGAGTTTTTGACCTGCAGGCAGCAAGTATTTTGGCAATCAAGGGCAGGGACTTGTCTCCCACACCCAAACCCACTTATGGCTCATGTGTCACAATGTCGTCCGCCACAGTGAAAACAGCTTGCAATCCAAAAGCCAGTTCAAAGCCCTCGATAAAAGCACACCTTTTAGCAGGCCAAGCCGCCAAGCCTTTTGCTTCCCTTGCATGGGAGAGACAACGTACACACAGTGCTGGTTTCGCTACAGAGCAGAAGGTCGCCAAGGTGCTGTCTGGTCGATCCTTGTTTGATGTTTTGCGGACCGGACCAACGGTTGCATTGGAAAACGTGTTGTTTTGCTCTCCACAGAAAACACATGACGTCTCTTGGCCTTTTATAAATCTTGTACACTGGGCCAACCAAAGATTTGGCTCGAAGAAAGGACCCTGCAAAGTGACGCACTGCATCGCATGGCGTCTCCTTGATCACATGGGGCCGGAAAGACATAGTTATTCCTTTTGCAATCCAACGTTCTGTACTCTGGATCCACGCATAACTAGAACTCCAGCAAAAGGATATCTCAGCGATATCTTGGTGAAATCCACTGTTACAAGTAGCAGGCTTCACACACCCATAAGCTGGCATGAACTCAAGCGCAGCCGCAATCCACTTTCATCATAGGCCAGGACATGATCAGTGCTGGAAGGGGCGCTCAAAGCCCTTCTTCTCAGAGCACAGGGGGTCCACAAGAATTTGGTCAGCCCTGGCCAGCAATGCACGTACATCCAGGGCTAGGTGTCCACTCAACGGACGACACAGATCGAAGGCTGTGTTGGAAGGCCAGTCGCTCTTTGGGATTTGGGCCGAACGGTGCCTCTTACACCGGTGCAGCACCGTAAAACGAAAACAGAAACTCATCTTCCCATTGAGGCAATGTTCGGATGAAATCGCTGAACATGGGCCTGAAGTCCACCTACGGCAAGCTGAGTACTGTTAGGGACTGCCAACCTTGCCATTAGACGTCGCGACCTTTGACTTGCCTATCACTTCCCCATGCTTGGCAGGAGGAAGTTGATTGGTGCAAAAAACTTTACAGGTGCGGGTATGGCCGATGCGTGCTGTGAAAGTTGTGAAAGCGGATCTTTTTGCCGAACATTTGCATTCATGGCATTCAACAGTTTTGTGCACTTTGTCGGTTGTGAAATCGAGGGCCCATCCACGATGGACAATCCTCGTTCCGGGCTCAGAATGATAGCTTTCAGTTTTCAGAAAAGAACAACTAATAACGGTTCGCGGTATTGGCCCATTATGGCCCATTAGCCCTGTTGTGCGCTCCACCAAGAATCAGCTAGAATCACCTGGTCAGGTTCAAGGCCGACTTTTAGGTTGGTTTGGAGATGATGTGATTAGTGACTAGTGACATGTTTGTTGTAGGGGGAAGTGGATGTATATGCACCGTGACCAACAGCACACGCACACAACCCAAAAGAGAGACTTGGACTATTCCTGTCCGAGGATACCACGGATACAGGGATTGAGGAGAACTGCGTTTCAAACTCAAGACCAATGCTCATAGCCTTTTTAACCTTGTGTGAAAGCCACAGTTCAAGTTACTGCAGATAGAACGTATGCATTCTGAAGAGCCAATTCAGGCAGCTATTCTCAAGCGTTTGGATGCTGTGGGAGTAGCAGGCACGTCTTTGTGTTGTTTGGAGCCTTTTGACACAAAACCGGTGCTCTACTCACCTGATAGATGCAAAAGAACGCTTTGGGCAAGATTTCATCCGCTTAAAAAACTCCTTTCATTTTCCGGACCTTGGTCCTTTGTACTTGAGCCCAGCACAGGTCGTGTTAGCAATGCTGACAGTCCATCCGCCATTTGATTGCGGAACCTTTTTGTGTCCATAGAATATTTTGCTACCTTTAATGAGTTAGAGTTAGACACATGCCATTACTCGCGAGGAACTCTTTAATAGCAGCTTGCAAGCTATGGCAAGCCTTAAAGGCTGGCGTGATGTACCTTCCATACCATAGGGTGATGGAGGAGTGCGAAGAGCTCACATAGAAAAGGCGTCTTCTCAGTAAGGGTAGCTACAATCATTGAGATGCAGTCAGTGGATTTTTTCTTGAGCCAGGATGGGCTCGAACATGGAAGTATGGGGAAAGACCCATGCTACGATGACAATGAGTGAAGTCTGAAGCCGCATTTCATCTTACGGTTCAAGCAACCTTGATCGTCCCCGCACTTTTTCGGTATGGAATGCTGATGGCAGATTGGCTGCCAACGCTGCAATGCCAAAAGAGACTTTGAGGTGCGGCGAGCAGCAGTGCGAAATGTTCACTACGTTCGTTTGTCATTCTAAGTGCGAAGTTTGCGTTGTCAGGCGCCGAGAGCAGAAAGCTGCTGCTTTTGCTGTACGTTCAGGCCAGGTGTTCTTGTTGCAGAATTTGGGGGTCTGAACTAAGCTGTTGGTTGAAATTTTCATTTGGTGCTGGCTGCTGGGATGCCCACAAAGCTGTTATATATTTGTCCCATTACCTGTAACAGTCGGTATACAATTATCACTATTTTGGAGAAAGGCCTTTACTAATCATTATCATCAACTTACTGGTAATGGGATATACTGATATACCCAATTTACATATGTGCTTTCCACTTCATCTACTTTGGCGTGCATTGCGTTTTGTTTGTGAGCTAGCCGAGGGTTGTGTGTGGTTGGTAGTCCTTCCTTGACATTTGGGTCTTGGAAAATGGTGATCAGCACTTGCAGGCTGCCCCACGACTGAATAAATCCAGCCATGCCCAACATTTTTCCCTGTAGTTGTGGCCGCAAGCCAACCACATATCAACCGCATGTAGATGATACCGTAATTGTTCATGAGATTTACCATGAAGCCTCGAAGAAATGTGAACTTTGGGCTTTGAAACTTTCAGAAAAAGGGAATTCTAACAGAGGGTAAGCAAGCTCAGCCAATACAAAAGCTGCAAGGCCCCTCGCCCTAAACACATACACAGACAGCCCCTGTGCTTTGAGATCCTCGAGTTGCAAAGGAAACCACGTTGGGAGTCCTCCAGCTTTCAATGTCGAAGTTGAGTCAGCAATTCCAAGCCGAAAGCACTCCAATGCCAGTCTGCAGAGCTCCGAAGCCCTGACGCTTGACACATGCAATCCTTGGAAAGCTCTAGATGCAGAGCTATAAACCTTCTTTGTCACGTTGGATTCTTTAGCCCGCACACTCGACTTTTATAGCTGGTTGCATGGTCTCCAAAATAGCACGATCTGGAATGACGGCATGCCTGTGCAGCGCCAACTTGGATGATGCAGCTTTGTGCTCCAATGTGATTTCTGCCTTTCAATGCTAAATCTGCCATGGCGGCCATTAAATACGATGCAGACTATTCAGAATCTGGTGTGACAGCATTGCTGCATCCTCAGCAAAGCACAGCAAGGGATACTGCCGACTTCTTCCCATTTTGCGGTAGTAGCTTCGTTTTTTTCATTTTGTACGGCATTGGAGCCAAGGTTAGAAGCCATTGCGCCGCTTTGCACCGAGACGGCCAGCGATGTGCCGGGATTAGAAACAACTCGGCTTTACGAGACACTCAAGCACGTGCATGAGGCAAGGGGTGTTTGGGCAGACTAGCCGAGACGTTCTGGCAAAGCTTACTTGGATTGTTGGATAAACGAGAGCAATCGTGGCAGCAAAAGCCACATTCACATAGTAGTATGATTGTATTGAGATGCAATGCAAGCTTCTAGGGCAAAACAGTTTCTCTATGTGCCTCTCAGCGAATGCGGATACGGTTGATGATGAGAGTGAAACCCTGCATCATTGAAGGGAGTCTGCGCCCCTTCGCTCTTTGAAAAGCATGTTTGGGGTGATTGTGACAAATGAGTTGACAAATGGACAGGAGTGGCACTCATTGGGAGACTTTGAGACTCTGGATCGAAAGTTCCAGGCTCGCGGCTTTGCCAAAGTCAACAGTCGCTCGAAATATAGGATTAGTGCGAGCGCTTCCTTGAAGACGCGTGAGCTATCCTGCGTCCTACCTAGAAGCGAACTTAGTTAAGTAGCTTTCTAGTCCCGTCCCTAGTAACAAGAAGCTACTAGGAACAAGTGCATCGCTTCTAGTAACAAGTGCCTTACTAGTAGTAACAAGAAGCTACTAGTAACAAGAAGCATTAAGTAGGCAGGGGGGGAGCGGGTTTTTTAAAATGCTCTCCTGGCCCTAGTTGTGTGAGGCCCTCCTGGCAGTTGCAGCTGCTACGTCATGGTTTACAAAGGAGCAGTTGGATGATATCGATGGCTGGCCCCAAGCCAGCACTATTCTGAATTCTAGTCGACCTTTTGGCATCGTTCTAGTCTTGCCTCACGATTTCTTTACAGGCACGTCAACACTTGGACCCTTTTGAGGGCCTGCCTGATGTGAAGGTTGAACGAGGTTGCGGACTGTGGCGAAACAGAGGATTGGATGCAGAACTTTCCAGAGGATGACTTGCGCGATGTTGTGCTGGATAATTTGAGGCCCATTCTCATGGCAGGGAGGACAAGCAGGTATTGCAGATGTGATCAAAGAGTCGTTTAAAGCTTTGCTGCAGTTCATCAAGACTCCGTCGGTGAACTCTACCTGTTCCCTTTTCACTCACCCTGTAAGGGCGCGAGAAGTGGAGATCACCTTTGATTCAGAGACTCGGCAAAATCTTCGGAAGCAGATAGCAACAGAACATGTCAATGCCCAGAAAGAGTCGAGCTTCTCATGTGTGGCTCATGGTTTTCGGTCATACAGTGAGTTCCTCGGCTCAGGTCAGTAAAGCGGTCTCAATCGATTATGTTGGAGGCAACTTTGGAACAGGACGTGACTTGGACAAAGGAAACAGCCAAGCGCCTGGGAACCTCGGTGTCAGACGTGTGCAGATGGTTGGGCAGATAACTAGAGATTTGTGCCATGGGCCAGGTGGTTCACAAATTGTTTCCAAATGATGACAGGTTTGCTCCAGGTGGATTACTGTACAGTTTTTAATCAAAAGAAGACAAGCAAAGTCAAGTAAACAGAGCTAGTGTGGCATAAATCATTTGTATAAGCCTAAGCAACGAAGCGGCCCGCATGCCAAACAAGGGGCTGACTATCAACAAAGCTGGCTAGCCAAGAGTGGAAGAACTATGCAAGGAGCTGAGTGATGAGTAATATTGCCAGACGTTAGTGTGTTACAAAGTTTTTGCTAGGCAAGGGTATGGTCGAACTCTTTTTGTTTTTGTTTGATTCTCAATAACCTTCAAGAACATGTTTGCAACTAAATAATGATACAATAAACATGAACACACACACAAAACTAATTGAGCAAGAGGCACGAGGCAAGCCTATTGAGACCTGAAAGAACTTGTTGAGTAAAGCGGAAGAATCGAGAAGTTGTATGTTATGTCAGCAGGGAAAGAACTACAGCAAATACATTACGAGAGGAAACACTACCTAAGAATCAGAGTACAAACTAGCACTTGGAAAGATAAAGTCTTTTCAGGAGAGCTAATTGACCTGCTGGTTGTTGGTTGTTTAAGTTGGTTGTTTAATAAATTGATGTTGGTTGTTTAAGTTGCTCCTGCCTGGACTTGGAACTGCAAATAGTTGTATCAATATGTAAAGCTGGTATTGGATGACAAATAGTGTTTACGCAACTTTTTGCCTGCCCAAAGTCAACAACATAGAATGCATTTCCTTTGACATGATTCTTTCAGATCTATTCCTTTTGTAAAGAGCTACTGTAATAGGGTTGAGCAATGTTCCACAAAAGGCATTTGACAATTCTGGAGGTGTCTTCTATGAACAAGAATACAGGGAGAAAGATCATTTGCACAGGATAAACAGGATAAATTGTTCTTCCAGACACATATTGAACAGAGGGGGTTGTTGCTAATGAAAGCACGTGTAGTGGAGGCTCATACAGGGTGAAGCCCTTACGAAAGGAAGAGCCCACAACAGATTACCTGCTTACAGAAAACTAAGTTTGTGCACGGAACATGATTTTGTGAGGATTAGATATGGAGAAATGGAGAAAGGATTGTACTATGTAGTCTCTTGTGACGAAGACATGAGGAATGATCTTTTGTAGAGGAATACATTGCCAGCATTAAAAGATAATATTGCTAAGAGACACCCGAACAAAAACATCTCAAGGAAAGGACTTGGGAAAAGAACAAATTAAGTGTACTCCAATCTCTTTTGTTTTTTGACCAATAGACTAATAAAACTCTTATGAAGGGTGTCTTCTCTTGAAAAGGCGTTTTGCATGACATGAGTACTGAGGTATTGTTTGGATTCCATATCTATCACCTGATAGCTGGTAGTGCGCGAAACCAAATGCCAACACCCCCCTCAGGGATCGTGAATTGACACTCATGGAAACTCGCTCGAGGCGGAAAAAGATTGTGCTCATGAGATCAGGTGCTTGTGAGTTTTTGCTATCCTTAAGACATTTTAAAGCATTGAGGCCAGAAAACGCTCAAGTAGTTGCACCTGAAACAAGCAAGATTGAATCCTCGGCTCTGGGGAAACATTTTCCATAACATTATATTACGAAAGCCAGCCGATAGGCTAGGCTTGAGCTTTTAGAGCGAACTAAGTGAGTTAGGGGGTGTTGGGGGGGGTGGTCGTTGAGAAGAGGGTGAACCCAGAGCTTGGTGGGGGAGAGCGCTCCAAAGCGAGGGTCAGAAAAGCAGTGAAAATGGAGCCTGGTGATGCGAGTGATGCAATGGACGCCGAGTAGTGCATCATCAGCATCATGAAGGGCTTTGGAGGCTACTTGGACAATGGGCATTGAGCACTCGAGTGGAGACAGGGACCCATGTACAGAGCAGCCCGCAGCTGCATGTAGGATACGAGTTCCCAGGACACGCACCGAACGTTTTTCCGGCGTGCCGGTGCAGACAGATAGATAAATAGATAGATAGATAGATAAATTCCCCTCTTTGCTGGCAGCCCTGGCCAGATCCAGTCAGCCTGGGTCCACGGCCCAAAGATCTACATGCGCAGGTGCCAAAGTCAATGCCTCTGAGTGAGAAAGGCGCAGAGTCGATAAGAAAGAGAAGAATAAAGAAGGTGTTTGGATCGTTCAATAAAGGCACCTTTAAAGGAAAAAGATTGTGTTTTGGATCGAGCCAGAACATGACTCACTCAAGTCCAGGCTCATGCAAATCAACGAATGCCGCTTTTCGACGTGCCGCGGTATGCATTGCAAACTTCAATCACTCCAAATGTAACAAACACATAACTGCTTCTTTTCAAGCGCATGCCGTACTCGCGGGCAGTGCGTGCGCGCGGCGACGCTGACCATACGATACTTCCTCTTCGCTAACGCTGATGTCGCCTTCCAACTTCCATAAGATGCATACCTTCTTGCATGTGACAAACACATGCCGTTGCAGTGTGATGATGACCTACACCAACATACAACGTATCGCATTTGTCTTTCGCTACTTCTTTCATACCAAACTTATCCCAAAGCCGCCTGGCTATTCTTTGCTCCCTCCACACACCGCTGACTCGCAAGCTGCCGACCATGTGTCTTGTGTACACGTATATTGGGCCATATTCTGTTGTTCGCCATCTCAGGCCATGACGGTTCAATCCATTTGGACGACGATGGCCTGACTATCAAAGATTCCAGACATCCTGGCATGTCAACAGTTTGGCTGGGCGATCTACCAGAAGCACAGGTCTTAGTGTGCGAGATCAAACCTCCTGAGTGTCGAGTCTTAGGCAATGTGAGCCATGCTATGCATTTAGGATTGTCTTTCTTGTGATCTGATTGTGCCTTAGGGCCAAGCTTTTCTGAGGATCCTGAGCAATTGGGGCAATGCTTGCAAAGCAGAAACTGGGATGAGCAGTGGGAGGACTAGAAGCGAACAAGTTGAAGTTAATGCTTTCCGGTCTCATCCACACATGCGATTTGTGGCACATCCATAACGCATAAGGTTCATTCGCAATTTGTTTATTGCCACCATTGACAATAGCCAACAATAGTGGAGGATGACTACTGATTGCATGGACGCGGACAGCTTCAAATTGTCCTCCTGAGATGCGAGGGCAACATATTTTTGAAAGAAAGAGCTGCGGCCAGGCTCGCAGCCGGGCCAAGCGCACTTAAGTGCATTCTTTTGCTTCAAGTGTCACTCATGTGGAGACACACGCGCACACGTCGTTACTGTTTGTTTATTGTTGAAAAGGTTTTGCACATTGCGTATGCATGGCCCGCGAAGCGTATGCAAGTGCCAGAAGGCAGTACTTCGTCCGACTGGGCAATGCTCCCAAGTCGAAGAAATTCTTTGGACCTTTCTAACCTCCTTTCTGATCTTCCTGTGGTGAGGTGGATCACTAGCTAACGATGAAATTGTGGAGAGGGCACGTGGAGATTGAAGACGAAAAGGTCCGCGCAACAGATTTGCCATATGACTAAGCAAGAAACTCGCAAGTGAAACTTCCTGGCACATGGCTTAGCCACAAAATCCTCCAGGAAGTACAATTAGATACAATTAGCAAGTTACTTGCTTGGGTGTGTCGGATCCCTAAGTGACTAAATATTGTAGAGACAATTGAAAAGAGTAGCATGGAACAACAGTTTTTGCAATGTACTTGTGTGACTAGTCAGGGACAGCAGAGCGGCGACCGCTCGAAGCTCACGAAGCTCAAAGCTTTTTCCGTGTGACTCGGTGCTTTTTAGCCTTTGCAAGACTACGGTGTGTGTATGAATCATCAAGAGGAGTTTATCGAGTTAGTCACCGACATTTGCTCTATTGCATTGAAGTCAAGGCCATCGATGCCCGTGATGCTGCAGGATTTGGGATCCGGAAGCTCTCCCTCCTCGATGTGGACAGTCTTCATGAGGCCCGCGCAACTGTGTTGCATCACGAGTGGAACACATCAGTTTCTTTGTTTGTGTGTTGACGCGCCTTGCTTGGTGTGATTTGAGCTGCAAGTTTTGAGGCTCCAGAATGTATCACATGGGAGCACCGTCTTGCCCTCGGAGCGGCCATACCTGAAACGCCGAATGGTTCGCGCTATTCATTTTCAGAGGGCGTGCCTTTGAGGAATCTCGCTGCTATACTATGCAGCATGGAGAAAACGAGATCACTTCGTCAGTGCTTCTTGACGTTATTCAACATGAATTCAAAATCGAAGCGCGTTTGCGTGTGTCGTGAAGAGGCATTGCTCCATGCCCGAGCTAACCCATCTGTCCGGGAAGAGGGTGAGGCCCTGAATTCCTAGCGACATCAAGCAGTTCTCCATTTTTTGGCCAAGCAGCCGAGATCAGGCCTTCAAAATCATCCCAGCCCCGCCAGATCCGAGATGGCCATGCACATTGTAGACGGACTTCGAAACTGGGCTGAAGCACGGGCAAGGTCAGATGAAAGGATATGGAGAGCATCTTCATAACAACATGTATTGAAATTCGATCTGATCCAAAAAGTCATTGCGATCTTGAAAGGCAGTCTTGCAAACAGCCATCGCAATACATCTTCTGACCTTTTGGAGAACATCTTTGGAATCGTTGGCGCCCTAAGGAACAGAATCCGCAGTGGAGTCCTCAAGAAATTGCTTGTCGTTGTGGGGTCAGGCCATGCACGATTTGTATATTAAAGATATATATATATTATATGTTTATCTATTTTGTTTATGTATATTCTGTCTGTGGTATGAGACAGCTTTTGTCCCCAAGGTGTGGCTGTGTCATGCGTTGGTTCATTTGCGCTTCCGCGGAAAGCGCTCTGGGGAGACAGGTTGCTGTGAGGTGCCGGCAAAGGATGTAGGGGAACCAAAGCAATACCTGGCCTCGCAGGAGTGTAAAACCTCGAACAGTGAGCGGGCGGTGAAGGGCTTTGGCGCTTTGCTTGCATGGAGCCCAGATGGAGCCCAGCAAAGACGCTTTTTGAGCGAAGCACTGTTCGATGCCAGAGGCTTGGCCCTGTGGTCATCGTTGCCCAGAACTGAGCGCTTCATAACTATTTATATTGTTGTTACTTTATTGTTTTCTGTTTTTGGCGGGGTAGGCCGCTATAGGTAGCTAGTAGCTTAAGTAAGCTACTAGCTAAGACCCAGAAAAGCTCACGCTTCTTCAAGGATGCTCCCCCGCCTGAGAGAGATGGGGGAGCTTCCTTTTCTCTCAAGCCGGCGCAACGGGGTCCACGGCAACCGTCAAGCATGCCGCGTTGACGGTCAAAAGACCACAATCACAACAGCAGGGGAGCACAAAGCTGTGAAGTGGCCATGCATTGACCACACAGTCTACTTGGACACGAAAGGTCCACATGAGATAAAACATTCTGAATTCAATCATCAGATGCCACAGCGGAGAGGTCCTCTTCTTCACTGAAAAGTGGAAGTACGA